CGCGCCCCCCCCCCCCCCCCCCCCCCCATGGCCAAAACAGGGGCCCCGGGGGGAGAAACAGGCTTATTTGCACCAGGACCACCGGTGTGCAGGTGCCTAGTTGCCAGCCCTCCGCGTTTCAAACACGCCAGCTTAAATTTTTCTGCGTTGGTGTTGAAAACATGGTGAGCTAGCTTTCCTGAGCAACGAGGAAAGGCTCTTTTAAAAAAAATAAATAAATAAATAAAATAAAAATCTTACTGGCATGGATAGAGCTGCGAGTGGCTGGAAGTGGAAGTGGAAGTGCTGAGGAACGTACGGAAGATCAGGATCCGGGCGCTGTCAGGCAAACTCCTTTTCTTCCACGCCAGCTGTTGCTTGTGTGCAGGTGTTGCTTGTCGCTCCTATGCTGAGCTAACGGAGCAACCCAGGAACAACGCGGGTGGGCAAAATGCAGCCTGCCAGGCCGTTGTATTTGGCCCGCAGGGCCCCTAAAAGATTTAGAAAATGAATATTCATCTGCCTTGGGCTGCCTGTCCGTGCAGCCCTCGATGGCTTGCCAAAACTCAGTAAGCGGCCCTCCGCCCAAAATAATTGCCTGCCCCTGGTTTAGTACTAGTAGAGCTCGGCCTCTCGCACGTGGTTCTTGCTTGGTGGTTTGAGAAGAGAAAACGGTTCTTCTGGGGGCTTCTCTTTTTCTGACACCCCCATTTTGCTTCTTTAAATGAGCCAGTTGCTCACTTGAGCTCAGATGAACTGATAAAACCTTCGCTGGGCACTTGCAAAAGAGACTACAGCTGCTAACAGGACCCACCAGCGGGCACTTCCTCCAGCAAGTAGGCTGACGGGAGGGAGGCCTGTGCACCCTCGAGGCAGGGGGAAACGTTAACTGGACTTCTTGAAGTGCGGCACTTGGCCCAAGCCGGTGGCTCCCAACTGAGGGGAGTGGATTTCTAGAGAAATGCCTTGGTCCCACAAGTATTTCGGGATCCTGAAGCATTGGCATTTGAAGGAAATCCCCAGTACAGACTGCAGCTGGCAGTACTTCACTGTTTCGTTTTTTGCCTCCCCCACAAATATTTCATCTTCTCTCCATTTGCAGGGAAATGGAGGGCTGCAGTTCCAGGCAGCACTAAGACACGCAGAAAGGCTGAGAACTGGGCATGCTTGGGGTGGGCGATCAAACTTGGGCCTTGCACAGTACAAGATAGTGAGGGGTATCCCTCCAGGGGCAGCACGGGTCATCTCTCGGAACAGGCAGTTCCTGTAACTTTAATCCACTTTTCTGCTGTTTAGTAACTATATTGCTGATGCCACGAGCTCAGCAAGAGTGGCTTAAAATAATATTTAAAAAAAAGAAAACGTGAGCTCTTTCTTCACTTGCTTTCTGGATTCCACTTTTCAGGTGCAACATTTGGAACTAGGCTTGTCCCTTAAACTAAACCAATAATTTCATGGTGCTGGTTTCTTAGAGGCCTCTGAATGCAGAAGTCCTGATGACTTATTTTCCCCCTTTTACCTGCAGCTGGGTCTTCATTTGGGAAAAGGGCTACCAGGAGACCGACTCTGTAGTCAGCTCTGTTACGATCAAAGTGAAAGGAGTAACTGTGACCAACACATCAACTCTGGGACCCCGGGTCTGGGATGTGGCTGACTATGTTATTCCACCTCAGGTATGTGCCCTTCTGCGGAGGGCTGTATTAGCACCTGCATTTCCAGAGAAGTGTCCCGCTATACCCGAGACTCCCTGCTGCAGGCACGTCGCCTGCACAAACTACCAGGCTGATTGTCTGGCTTTGCCTTGCTTCAAGTGATGCTGAATACCTGCACCTTCTACAGGTAGTGGAGGATTGTGGAGGCTCAACACTTCTGGTCTTGAGCATAAAGCTGCTGTTTTATAAGGGGTTGAGTAAGGAAGTACAGCAGATGCCTGGAAGGAATTGCTGTAATGATCCACATCCTCCTCCTCCTCCTGCTTTTTCTTAAGCAAACAGACAGAAGTTGAACTGCTCTGTCAGGCTGTACTGTTTTAACTGTCCTCCACACAGGACCTGATCGGGAGCCAAACAGGAACTGCTGGGAGTAGTTATTGATTGACTGAGCATGCATGTGACGGAGGAGACCTGCTGTTAACTGAGCAAGCAGTTTCGCCTCCCAGCCCTCATGGGCACACGCAGACTGCTGGCCTTTGATTTGGACAGGCATCCAATCGCAGTGGGGAGCAAATGCCAGAGCTGCTTGTAAACGGAGTAGTTAAGGCTGTTATTAGTGCTTGAACAGGAAAGAACCTGGGGCCTTTGTTCACAAGGCCAAAGAGAGAGGCAGGTGGGACCCACCTGGGCCTGGTGGGTAGAAAAGCACCAGGCTGGAAAGAGTCTGTGAACTGTAAACCAATGCACAGAGATGGAGCCTCTTGTCTGCTGAGCCCCACTGAAGCTGCTGGTAGAAACCTGTACGGACCAGCTAGTAAAACTGGGCAAGACTCTGCCTGCCCTGCTTGCAAGTGTCCTGAAAGAGCTGCTCGGATAGCACCAGCCTCTGATCTAGTCACAGATGACCAATTATTTTAACTTCTCTGGGGGTTTCTCCAGGAGCCTCGCCACAGGTGTTGGTCTGGTACAAGGTCTCCACTTTCCTGCTACGCATGCAGTCCTGTACTGAAACTGGGGCCGGAAGGAC